CCCTGTCGGGGACCCCCGGGCTCCAGAGGGGGTCGGTGGCAGCAGTGGAGCAGCCAAGGTGCCTTCCTGGGGACCCGTGCCCATCTCCATGCCAACGGGGGATGCAGGCGGAATAGCAATGGGGTTGGGGGGGATGTCTGAGATCAAGGCTGCCCCCTCCCCCCCTGGCATGCAGCAATGCCCCATATTGAGCCCTACTGCCACAGAAGCCCCCTGCCCACACCAGCCCACCCCTGGGGGGCCAAGGGGTGCAGGGACCCCTGCCCTGGTGGGAGACACCCTCTAATCCTCCAGTGCCCCCTCCATCCTACCAGGGTGCCCACAGGCACTGCAGCTCCCACCAATCCCCATCCTCCCTTGGAACCCCCACTCCCGCTGCCTGGGAATCACCCCCCATTCATGGCCTGTGTCCCCAACAGGCTCATCCCTGTCCCCTACCAGGTCTCTGGGCAGCTGGGCAAGGACGGCGAAGGTGGCGAGCTGGCGGCACTGGCATTTGGTGTGAGCCGGGAGGGTCTCCAGGGTTTGGCAGCTCTCCGTGTCCCAGTTTCCCAAGCCAGCTTCCCTGATTAATGGGACGAGAGGAGGGAGAGCAATTTGAAATGATCAAACACACTCACAGCCCCTGGAGCTTCTCCTCAGTTAACCCCTCGCTGGCCCCTGCCTGGGGGGAGGCAGATGGGGCAGGGGGGGCACTGTCAGGGGACAGGTTAATCCCCCGAGCTCCTCGTGGGGGGGATGAAGCCATCCCTGCTCCATTGCCCCCACCTGCCCTGGTTTTGATCCCCCTGGGGAGCCATGCAACATGAAGGCTTGGGGTTTAATCATCTCACCCAGGTTTGGGGGTGGGAGGGCAAACCAGGCCCAGGAGGAGGGGTTACAGGAATGGAGGGGGGCTGAAGCAGTGTCAGGGCAGGCAGGGGCAGCCCCAGGGACCCCCCCCTGCTACCCACGTCCCCCCAGCGTCAGCCATGGCTCACACAGCAGAGATGTGCTAGCTCAAAGCCTGGCATGCCTGGGTGGTGATGCTCCCCTCCTGCCATGGGGAGCCCCCCAGGAGGGAGCTGGGAGGGGGGGCCCTGTGGTTATGCTGCCCATGCAGAGGGAGAGCAGCTACAGGTCCCAGTAAAGGCAGGAAAATCAGGAACTAGGTCTGTGGGACAGCTGGGGACACAGCTCCCCCGGGCCAGGCTGAGACCTGCCACACTCATCATAGCCACACATCTCCCTGTCAGCACGGGAGCTGTGCTAGAACCAGTGACCCCAGTTGCAGAGGGTACCAGGGCAGGAGGGCTGGCACTGCCACCTCCCACCCTCCCGCCATGCCCTACTTTCCATTGCTCCTGCCACAGCACATCAAATGGCATCTGGCAGGCTGGTGGCATCCATGTCCCCAAGCATCACCCGCCAGTGATTCCCTGTCCCCCCTGTCCCTCACTCACGTCCTTGAGTAGTCCCAGGTGACACACTGTGGGTGGGACGTGCCCTGCAGACAAACAGACTGGTCAGTGCTTCACCTCTTGCCCTTCACCCCCACACACACAAAAGGGGACACGGCCTGTGGGGACCTGCCCAGCTCCCCTGGTGCTGGCACATCCCCTCCGAGGGCACAGAGCTGAGCACTTGTGGCCACCAGCTGGGAGCTGCTGGTCCCTGCCTGGCTCTCAGTGCCAGGGCTGATGGGACCCACAGGGGACTGAGAGGTGACACGGTGATGGCACGGGAGGGGGACACTCACGTTGATGATGTGGGAGAGCTCCACCAGGACCAGGGGCTCTGCCGGCTTGGTCGGTGGGCGCACTGTCACCATCAGCACCTTGGAGGTGACGGCCAGGGGGGCCCTGCGGGGAGGGGGACATGCTGTGACGGGGATGGGGACACGGGGCGGGGGACAGCGGGCAGCCCCACTGACCTGGGTGGGGGCAGGATCAGCCCCAGGGTGCGGAACAGCACGGCCCCGATGACGAAGTGGGACGACTCGTCTGCTTCTGCAGAGGGAGCAGGGGGAGCAGCAGAGGGGCGGGCTCAGGGAGGACACGGCACAGCCCACACGTCTGTCCCGACATGTGGGGGGACATGAGACCCCCCCCCAGCACAGGCACGGCACACGGGAACACACAAGGGCTGGCAGGAGGCCACCTGCATGTTCACACCTGTGTGCTCCCATGCGTGTGCACTCCCAGATGTGCAAACTCACATACCTGTGCTCCCAGATGTGCACTCTCACACATGCACAGTCCCAGACAAACAAGTTCACACATGTTCACATGCACACACATGTGCACAGCACCAGATGCACACTCACATGTGCGTGCTCATGTGTACGCACATCCACACTCCCAGATGTGCAGGCTCCATGTGCACACAGCACCAGGTGTGCACCCACGTGTGCATGCTCATACATCCACCTATTTGCACACTGCCATGTGCACACGCCTGCCCAGCCCTCTCCCACACGTGTGCAGAGCACACTCACTCCTCACCAGCAGAGGCCAGGCTCAGCACCTCCCTGGGGATGAAGAGCTTGTCCTCGGAGCTGCGGGCCCAATCCTTCATCCCCCGCCGCCCCTTCATGGGGAAGTTGATGTCGCTGGAGACAGCAGAGACGGGCTCCCTCTGGATGCTGATCACTGCCGGGGCACAGCGGGTGTCACTGGCTGCCCCCCAGCACCCACCGGGGCCCTGTGCCCACCCTGACCCTCACCCAGGTTGTCAGTAACAATGAGGGAGCTCTGGAAGGCCTTCAGCGCGTCCCCCACCAGGTGGATGAAGTCCTCCACCACCTTCATCAGGTGCACGGAGCCAGGCGAGACCTGTGGGAAAGGGTCCAGCTCCACTGCCGTGGGGACACGTCCCCGAGGCAGAGACGTCCCACTCCCCCCAGCCACCCACCAGTGCCCTGCACCACCGACCTGCTGGGCATCCTCCCACTTGTCCCGGTTCTCTGCGTCCACCATGTAGCTCACCACCTGGAAGAAGCGCTGCGGGGAGGGGGCTCAGAGGGGCTGGGGGCTTGGGGACCACCCCGGGGGTGGCCCTTGCCGTCCCCCGCCCGCTACCTGCACGTCCTCGGCGGACGGGGGGTAGGTGGCCCTCTTGAAGGTGTCGGTGACGTTGCGCAGGATCTCGACGGAGAAGAGCAGGTCCCCGCTGTAGTAGGTCTTGCGGGCCATGAGCTCCAGCAAGCTCCGCCCCACCTGCGACATCCCCTCGCCCGCCAGCACCCGCTGCCCCTTGGCCAGGTGCTCCCGCAGCTTGTATGGGACACACACACACCATTGTCACCCCTCTGCCACCGCCGCGTCCCCCCGTCCCTTCGTCATGCCCAGAAGGGAATGCTGCAGAGCTAATCACACTAATAAGGGACACAAAGGGTCTAGGGGGGGGCCTTTGAACCCCGAGGACACAGCAGGACAGCTGAGACTGGGATCCCCCTTCCACTCCAGGACAGGATTCCCCTTTCCCAGCCCTGCCTGGGGACTCCTGCCTCAGTTTCCCCACGTGAAGCCAGTGAAGCAAGGTGACTGCCAGGCTTCCCTGTCCTGCAGGGATGGTAAGGGGCTGGGGACAGGACAGGGGAGGGCAGGGGGGGCCGCGCCAGAGCGTGCACCTACTGAGAGATGCAAGTATCGGTACTCGTGGGAGATGCAGCGGGCAAAGCTGGGGACACCCCAGTAGGCAACACCATGGGGGCTCAGCAGGCACCGGCGGCTGGCGGACCCTGTGTGGGAAAACCGGGATCAACGCCGGCATGGGAACCAGCCTCCCAGGACAGGCGATGCCTGTCCTGCTGCAGTGGGGGGATGTGGGGGTGCTCACCCCACGTTCCTCACCCGTGGCATTGGGGGGACACTTGTTGTAGATGATGTCCCCAGCAGCTGTTTTCTTCCAAGTCATCAGCATGACGTACTCGTCCTTGCACATCTCATGGTAGGCTGAGGGGGAGGAGGGGGGGCATTCAGGCACAGCCCAGACCCAGGGTGATGGGCCGGGGGGGGCAGGGGGTGCCCTGTACCTGGACACTTCTTCTCGTTGCAGGTCTTCACCTCCTCGCCGGTGCCCTCGCAGGGGTAGCCCTGCACACCGGAGCCCTCGCACATGCGGAAGCGGCGCTGCCAGCCAGTGTCACACGTCTTGGAGCAGAGGCTCCAGTGGTTCCAGGGACCCCACTTGCTGTCTGCTGAGGGGATGGGGACACTGTGGGACACCTGGCTCGGCATGGTGAGCAAACAGCCGGTGGGGGGCAAGGACACCTCAGTGGTGGCTGCCCCCTGCACCATGAACTGAAAGCCCCGCAGGGCGTGAAATCCACGGATCAATCATTAAATCTCTTCCAGATGAGATCCGCTCCCTCCAGCTGCTGCGGGAGTCACGCCCCAGCCCCCTCCTCCCCCCGTGACCGACACCAAGGGGGATGAAGGACGAGACGAGGATGGGGTCGAAGGACAGGTTGAGATCAGGGTCCAGGCTGTGGCCTGACAATCCCCCTGCTCAGTGTCCCCCGTCCCCAGAGCCAGCCCTAAGCCCCACGACCTGTCCCATGTGCACACACAACAGCTCACACGAGCTTGCACGCCCAAAGCACGCCAGGACCTGGACCTGCAGTCACCGGGCACCAACAGGTCCCCCAAGGGTGACACAGGGCTGAGAGCAGGGCATGAATCCCCATCTCCTCCAGCTGGGATGTGCCTGGAAGGAGCAACCAGCACAAAGGAAGCGGCTGCTCATCCCCAGCATCACCCTTTGGCTCCTGCTTCCTCCCGCGCCTGCATCCTCGGGGCTGCCGGCATCCCGGTGTCACCAGCGGTGACACTGCAGTGGCTGGGCCACCTCCTGGCCTCCCCCCCAGCTCCCCCCCCAGCGCGCGGGGCCTTACTGGGACAGGTGGGGTTGGAGCAATCCCGGGCGTCGGCGTGAGCCCCCCGGCACTCGGCCCAGCCGTGG